TTTTGTACATTGACCTAGTATCCTGCTACTTTGCTAAATCCATTAATTAGTTCCAGTAACATTTTTGTAGATTCCTTAGGATTTTCTATACAGATTATTATATCATCTGCAAAAAAGGACACTTTTCTGTCTCCCTCTCTAATCTGTATGTCTTCCATTCATTCTTCTTGCTTTGTTGCACTGACTAGGACCAATGTTGAATAGAAGTGGTGAGAGTGGACATCCTAGCCTCATTCCTGATCTTAAGAGAAAAGCGCATAGTCTCTCATCATTAAGTAGGATGTAACCTCTATGGTAACAGGATGCCCTATCTAGGGCATAGATGCCCATTAACATGTTGAGGAAGTTCCTTGGTATTCCTAGTTTGCTGAATGCTGTTTATCAGAAATGGATGATGAATTTTGTCAAATGCTCTTTCTGTATTTGTTGAGATGACGTATGGTTTTTCTCTTTCCATTTGTTAATAATTTAGTTTGTTAACCTTGATTTTCAAATGTTAAACCAACTTTGCATTCCGGGGATAAAGTTCACTTGGCCATGGTGTATTGCCCAGTTTTAAAAAATATATTATTGGATTTAACTTGCTAAATGCTTGTTAAAAATTTTTGTGTCTATGTTTATAAAAGACATTGGTTTATAGTTTTCTTTTCTTATAATGCTTTTTTCTGGTATGCATATCAGCATAATGCTGGCCTCATGGAATGAGTTGGGAAGTGTTACCTCTTTTTTAATTTCCTGGAACATTTTGTGTAGAATTGCTATTATGTCTCGCTTAAAGGTGTGGCAGCATTCACCAGTGTGGCCATTTGGGCCTGGAGTTTTCTCTGTGGAAAGGTTTTAAACCATAAATTCAATTTATTTAATACATTTAGGGATACTAATGTTATCTATTCTTCTTGAGTGAGCTGTGATAGTTTGTGTCCTTCAAGAAATTTGTTAGTTTTATCTAAGTAGTCAAATGTTTTGGTAAAATATTGCTCATAATATCCCCTTATTATTATTTTAATGTCTGTAGGATATGTAATGATGCTTCCTCTCTTATTCCCTGTATGGGTAATGGGTGTCTTCTTTTTTTTTTTTCCCCCTTATCAGTATGGCTAGAGGTTTATAAAATTCATTGGCCTTCTCAAAGAACCAGCTTTAGGTTTCATTGATTTTCTTTATTGCTTTTCTTTCTCTGATTTTTCT